TGTGCCTTCTTGCCTGGGCCCTGCAAGTGTAAGGGGTAGTCCTGGTGGTGGAGAGGGCAGTAATGGTGGTGGTGGTGGTGGGAATGGCAGTGGCAATGGTAGTGGTGATCATTCAGGAGTTGAACAACCATTTATTAAGTGCCTACTCTGTGTCAGCAGTCAACCACCTCTTACCACCGTTGCCTTTACCATCATTGTCATGCTTACTTCCTTCAGTTAGCATATATTGAATGCCTCTTGTAGTCTAGGGACCATGCTAGGGGCTGGAAGTGCAGAGATGATAACATGTGGTCTCTGGTTCCAGACACTTACTGTCCTGTGGGAGAAACAGATCACTACAGTATGAAAGGATGAGTTCCACTGGTGAGGAGCCGACAATGCAGGGGCAGCTGAGGACTAGGCAGGGCTTTCCTTTCTTTTTCTTTTTTTGAGATGGAGTTTCAAAAAAGGGAAGCCCTACCCCTGCAAAGCCCAACCTCTCGTTGCCCAGGCTGGAGTGCAATGGTTCAATCTCTGCTCACTGCAGCCTCCGCCTCCCCGGTTCAAGTGATTCTCCTGCCTCAGCCTCCCAAGTAGCTGGGATTACAGGTGTGTGCCACCACGCCTGGAGAATTTTGTGTTTTTAATAGAGACAGGGTTTCTCCATGTTGCTCATGCTGGTCTCGAACTCCTGACCTCAGGTGATCTGCCTGCCTCAGCCTCCCAAAGTGCTGGGATTATAGACATGAGCCATCATTTTATCTTTCCAGTCTCAAAAGATAAAATGGAATTGTACAGGCATAAAATAGGGAAAGGCATTCCAGAAAGAGGAAATAGCTTATCAAAGGCATGGAAGAGAGGACATGGGTCCAAGAAAGTTGTAGCAGGCTGGGTGTGTGGTGGCTCACGCCTGTAATCCAAGCACTTTGGAGGCCAAGGCGGGTGGATCACTTGAGGTCAGGAGTTCAAGACCAGCCTGACCAACATGGTGAAACCCCATCTTTAAATAAAAAAGAAAAAAAAGAAAAAAGAAAGTTGTAGCAGTGGTGGTCTGGGAACAGGGCTCCCTTTGGTGACCCCTCCCTGTGTTTGCTACCCACTCCCTTACTTTTGGGGTGCTGCTCTTCCCCCACTCCAATCATGTGATGCTATCACCTCATCCCTAACTATCCAAGACTGGCTGTATGTTACCCAGTATGGACCAGTCAGAGTTCCTCCCCAAAGCACTTCTATTGGAGTGGGAAAGGAAGGTCCTTTGTACCCAATCTGGTTGGGAGCTCTTAGGATGCTCAACAGTGCACAGTGAGTTGGTTGGAGAGAAGGTGTGGCTATTCAGGGGCAACAGAGTTGAGAACAGAGAGGGAACATTCTTGATAGTGTCAGAGTCCAACATTCAGGTCTTCCTGGATCCCAGATCCATTCCATCTTGGTCAGATGATGCAGCAGGACCCTTGGGTATTGCTGGGAGATAAACCCAATGGTTGGATTGAAAAGGCAGCAGGAATCAGATCATAAAGGGTCAGGGAGTGCCGGGGAGCTTTGGTGTCATCCTGAGGACAAAGGAAAGTCATTCAGAGAGGGGCTTAATAAGGGAGAGGCATGGTCAGATTTGTGTTTTTGAAAGGCCATTCTGATAGGCAAGACTTCCTGGGAAGAGGCAGGACTTGGGGAAGAGAGGTAGTTGGCAGGGGAGCTGGTGAGAAGGCTGATCTTCTCCTCGGCCCAGATGTCACCGGGCAGGAGAGGCCCGGACTTTGAAGTGAGACCCTGTGGGTTCCAATCACAGCCCCATCTCCCAGTTGCTGTTTGACTTTGGGCAAATATGTGAGCTCGACTATATGCTGAGGGAAGATAGAGGTGGGATTGGTGAGAGAAATCAAATTTTATGTGGTCATTAAATCAATCTTGAGCTGGGTACCAGAGATCAAGGTTCTAATTCTAGAAAGTCTGAGAAAAAGCCCTATACATAGAAATCCATGCCAACCCATCCCCTTTCCAAACTCAGCCGGCCTCCTACAGCAGTTCCTGCTCATATTCCATGAACTGACACTGATGGAGGATGTGGCAGGAAGGGGGTGTCTTCCTCGGACCAGGGTGAGGGGAAGCAGGGTGGCTGAACCAGCTCCAGAGAGAGATGCCATTGTGCCCAGTGGGGCCCCAGGCCTTCCCTCACCCCCAGGCTAGCCCTAAACCACAGGCCACGTCCTGTTTCTCAGAAATACTGCCATTTTCCAGAGCCCAGCATTCGTGGGGGGACAAGGGGAAGTGATGTGACAACTGCCAGAGGAGGAGGAAACATCCCCAGGAACCCTGGAGGCTGGGCCTGACATCATGAAGGATGATCACATTTCAGGGCCAGAAAGCTACCTGGGAAGACCGAGTGGAATGGGGGTTCTGAGCCCAGGTCTGTGGTGCCTGCCCCTGCCCAGGACCCATAAGGATACAGATTCCTATCACATAAAGGTAGAGAGTGGAAAGGCGGATGACAGAGACTGGGAAGGGTGTGGGGAGTGGGAGGATGAGGAACACTGGGCTGAAGGTACTGACATGCACTAAGACAGAAGGATTCAGTTCAGCGTTTGATAGCACAGTAAGGTGACTATATTTAACAAAAATGTATTCAGGTGATGGATACCCTAAATACCTTGGCTTGATCACTACATGTTATATACATGCAACAAAATTTCTCATGTCCTCCATGAAGTTGCACAAAAAAAAAAATAAATAAAATTAAGTCTTTAGGATGTAGAATCATAGGCCTCCGTTGGAATCAAACTGCCCATGTTATTGTGACCTCTCCCTGGAGCCTTACTTAGTTCCCTTGTCTGATATGGTTAACAAGCCCCACCTCACTGGGCTGTGTAGGGATCAGATGAGACAATGGATTTGAATGTGCTTCGTTAACCAATGGGCGGGATTTCACTACCCCAGCTGGAGCCCACTCTGTGCCCAGCCTGGCCACCAGTGGGACAGTGGATCCCATGGGATTCCCTGATGGAGCCTTGGGAACGTCATGGGAGGCAGGGCTAGTCAGCCCTAGCAGACCCCCACTCCCCTCTCCCTCATCACACTCATGGGGAGATGAGTAGGGTTATGCAGCTGGTGGTTAGAGGCCAAGGAAGAATGGATTTAACTTACCCCGAAATCCTTTCTCCATCCTCACTCCCATTTCTCCTGACTTTCCCCTCTCCTGGGGCATTGCCTCATCACCGAGACTTGCTCCTAGCCAAAAAGCTGTCTTCCTCAAGCCCATGTGCACAGTAGACACGGCCCTGCCTCTCTTTATTGCCAGCTTTTTCAAAACACTTGTCTGTTTCCTCACTTCCCAGAAGCCGTCTCGGCCCCTAAAACCCAGCTCCCACCTCCCAGCTCTCCTGACTTAGCTCCCTGCTGTGGCCATTGGAGCCTCCTTGTCTCCTTGAAGGTCACATTGCCAGCCTCACTCCTGGCCCTCTCAGTGCCCTGCTCCCCTACCTGTTCCCTGTCCACCATGCCAACCCTTTGCTGTTGCTCCGGGTCCATCCTGCTCCTATTCTGTTTACTCCTCCATCTCTCCCAGGCCAGTGCACCCCCTCCCAGCTTTAGTTACCACCTACAGGCCAGTAGCTTCCAACTCCCCACCTCTAGCCCAGCTTTCTCCCCAGACCTATCATATACGCAGAGGTCTGTGGATACTTCCTCAGTGTGTGCTCAGCTGAAACTTCTGGCTTCTCCTCCCAGAAGGTGTCACCAAGTGAGATGCCACGTACACACTTGCTCCCCACTCTCCCTCAACCCCAAATCTAGTCCAGTCAGCAGACTACTGTCCACCATTTCTGGGGAGGGGACGGATGAGCCATGGTTGTGAGAGATTTGAGACCAGCTGTTCTGAGGAGAAAACCCCGCCTGGGGTTGGGACACCTGAGTTCTAGCCCTGGCTTCAGCACACCACTGTGAGGCATTGGGGAAGACATGTGGTGGTCCTAAGCCCATCTCCTCCTCTGTAGAGTATGGGTAGTGCCTCTTCTGTTCGCCTTTAGTGAAATCAAGGGCATTAAAACATCTTTGAAATTATAAGGATTTGTACACATGGGCAGAATAAATAATTGACGGTGTCTTTATTTTATTATGATTATTTTTTGAGATGGACTTTTCCTCTGTCACCCAGGCTGGAGTGCTGTGGCATGATCTCTGCTCACTGTAACCTCCGCCTCCTGGGTTCAAGCAATCCTCATGCCTCAGCTTCCTGAGTAGCTGGGATTACAGGCATGCACCACCATGCCTGGCTAATTTTTTGTATTTTTAGTAGAGACGAGGTTTCACCAAGTTGACCAGGCTGGTCTTGAACTCCTGACCTCAGATGATCCGCCTGCCTCAGCCTCCCAAAGTGCTGGGATTGTAGTTATGAGCCACCACGCCTGCCCCTAATGGTGTCTTTAATTGTAACTGTTGGGCCTTTTTCTCAGAGCATGGTGCCAGGCTGGCAATCTGATCACCTAGTCTTGGAAATCCTCTGAGGTGAGGCTATCTAGGCTTCTGACACTGGCCATGCTGTGGAACTGGGGACAGAGTGCTAGCCTGAAGTGAGAGATCTGGCTTCCAACTCCAGATCTGCTCAGCAGCTCTGCAGCTTTGGGCAAATGACTGCCTGCAGCTCCTCCCTAACTCCGCTTCCTCAGGTAGGGTGTGAAGACAGTGGTGAGGATCCCAGGAATATTTGTTGGGAAAGTGCTTTTAGGCTCCGTGAATGCCCTCCCCTGGCTAATTAGAGTCATTCCTCTTTCTGAGGCTCAGTGTCAAAGAGCTGTTGGAGGGGGGCTGCCTGGAAAAGCAGGAGGCGCTGTAGTGGGGGGGCCTGGGTGAGGGGCTGGGGGAGCTAGCCCTGGCTCCCGTGACAACTCACTGTGAGGACCGGGACCATTCTCTGTCCCTTCTTGATCTCGGGGTTTCCACCCCTGTAAAATGGGGATAACAAGGCCTACCTTGCAGAGTTTCTGGGAGATCATGCGGGAGACTGGATGTGAACCCAGAAGGCAGGGCTAAGGGTAATGCAACTTCTTATTTATTAATATATATAATAACAACAATGATAAAGCTCCTATCTGCAACTGTTTAGGGCTTTGTTATAATGTCTTGGTCACTTTGTCTGGACTGGCTGTGACCTTCAGCTCCGGGGTCTGGGCTAGGAAGACGTTCCAGTGACCTGTGTGGAGGAGGGCAGAAGAGAGAAGAGGCGCATGTATCTGCAGGTGCACAACAGAGGCAGTGCTGGGGACTGGAAAAGCCCTGGGCCGGGAGGAACTGCAAGGGTTTGGAGCCCACAGGGAGCGTGGAGATGACTGTCCCATCCCACAGCTGGGGCACATGACCCAGCTTTCAAACAACCAACACTGGGGACAGAGCTGCTTTCCTGACACCTGTTGGTAATACCCCCCCTCTGGCACCTTCCCTCCCTGATGAGAAGCCCCATCTGGGTCCATCTTCCTAAGAGTAAGGTATAGGAGGAAAGTGGGAAACGTTCCAGTAGAGAGGGAGGGGGTAGTACCCAGGTTTGGGGGCTTAGATCTCCCCTCTCCACAGCCCTGTCTCCCCCCACCACCAAGACCAAATCCAGCCAGCTCTGCTTCACCTTCCCGCTCTGGAGTTGGGAAATCTCTGGCGCAGACACCCACTGGATTCCTGTGCTGGGAACTGACGTCTGTGGCTGACAGCCCCTCCTCCCGGCAGCAGCAGCCTGGGAACTCCCGGAGAGGCTCTGGCCTGTGTCCCTGCCTTCTTCCCCAGGCCCTGTCCCTCAGCCCAGGCTCCTACCTTCGTGGGGGCCAGCGAGCAGCCGGAAATGCTGTGCCTCTTTCTGGAAGTCTTGCTTCCTGACTTTCTTGATCTGAGTCAAGTGGAAGATTCCTGAGGGCAGAGACAAGGACGTGAGCAGGAAAGGCAGAAACTTAGTGAAACTGCATGACTTAGCACAGAATGGACCCAGTCACTCCCTCCCCTACCCCTATTCTGATCAGACACAAAATCCTGCTGATGACATTTCCTCAATCTTTTGAATCTATTCTCCTATTTCGCTGCCACTATACTCACCCAGGCCCCTGTTGCCTTGTCTGGGTCACTACAGTAGAGTCCTAACCCCTTTCACTCCTGTCTAATCTGCAATCCTAGCTGTGGTCATTAGCACACGTAGCACCACCCTGTCATTCCCCTTCCCTGACGTCCTGTCGCCTCCACAGTGAAGCCTATGTCCTTCCCTCTGTTCTCTCTGCTGACCCTGCTCCTGTCACCAGCACCATCCTGCTCACACAGCACCCACTGTCCCCAGTGCACGGAGGGAGGGGGAAGGCAGGGGAAGAGAAGGGAGAAGGAAAAAGGAAAGGAGGGCAGGAAGGGAAGGGAGGAAGGAAGGTTGCCTGGCTCCTATGAACTGGTCACGCTTTTCTCAGGGCATAGAATGTATGATAAAAATCAATAGGCGTGCTTATTCAGATACCAAAGAACTAGCAAGCGGCAGAGTTACACTGTCTTGCCTGTGCCCTAGCCCTAACCAAATACTGGACATCCCCCGAGGAGGCCAAGCCTTTTCAAATGCCATTCCCTCAGCTGGAACACTTTTTACTATTGCCTTCTACTTCTACTATTTTTTTTTTTTTTTTTTTTGAGATGGAGTTTCACTCTTGTTGCCCAGGCGGGAGTGCAGTGGCGTGATCTTAGCTCACTGCAACCTCCGTTTCTCAGCTTCAAGCGATTCTCCTGCCTCAGCCTCCCAAGTAGCTGGGATGACAGGTGGCTGCCACTATACCTGGCTAATTTTTTTTTTTTTAATTTTTAGTAGAGACAGGGTTTCACCTTGTTGGCCAGGCTGGTCTTGAACTCCTGACCTCAAATAATCCACCTGCCTTGACCTCCCAAAGTGCTGGTATTACAGGCGTGAGCCACCATGCCCGGCCACTACTCCTACTATTGACACCAAATGAACTCCTAAGCCTTAGCTGGGAGTACTCCAAACCTTAGCTGGGAAGTCTTCCCTAATCCACCTGAGGCACTTCCTCCTTGGGGCACCCACAGCACCTGGCTTCTGTCTGTGATTGTGCCTGTTTCTAATGTGTTCTCATTGTGTCTACTCCTGCCTCCTCTACCAGACTGGGGACTCCCAGAGGGCTTTCTTTTCTGGGTTCCTTGTGCCTGGCCCACATTAGGCATGTAGAGTGAATGAATCCCTGGATGGATAGATGAACCCTAGGCCAGGCCCCAAGGGGGAATGAGGTACTAGCTGGATCCCCTGATATTTGCATCTCATGGGGAGCTGGCCACTGGTACCACACATGGCTCTGAAGCCCCGAGCACATGGGCTGTGAGGTCGCACCAGCTGTTACCCACCAAGGTCTCTGGCCAGAAAGAACAGATGCAACCAGCAAGGCCTCTGCTAGGCCAGCACTGCCTTTAAGAAGACCAGGAACTGACCCTGCTTATGGGAACCAGCGTGGGATTCCCACCAAGGGGAGCAGAAATCCCTGATCCTGGCACTGAGTTCCAGGAATCAGGAATGTCCAGCACTGTCCATGGACCCCCAGCCCAGATGGCAAGGACCAGGATATGGAAGCAACTCCAAAGACCCAGGGGCTCTATTCATACGGCAGGCAACAAGCATGGGATGAGATGGAGATGAGTCCTTCTGCACAGGCCTGCCACTGCATGCTCCCAGGTCACAGAAAAATTGAAGAGAATGTGGGAGGGATGAGGGTGGTTTCCCACACTGTAGTCTGTAAAGCGTAATTGAGAGGACCTGGGTCTCTGGCCTGGAATCAAGAGCTAGCCTGAGGGTCACGGTTGTGCCTCTTGCCCTTTGGAAGGGCTATGCAGGTCTGAGGGCAGGTAGGCTCTGTGGATCCTCAATGCAGAGCTGGCACCAATGGGTGAGTCCAGGGACACAGGATAGGCTCAGCTCAGTGTGAAGTCAGATGCCCTTTGGGCTGAGCCATTCACAGCGTTGGAAGTGAAGTCACTTGTCTGGAGTGGGAGTGGGGGTGTGTTCAGTCAGGCGTCAGACACCATCAGGTCATCAGGAGGCTGTGGGAGAGCTTTCTTCTTAGGCAGGGCTTAGAATGGAGAACCCAGACATCTTTTCTACTGTGAAACTTTAGAATATAAAAGATCCTTAACCCTAAGCCAACTATCTGCTTAGATGCTGGTGTCTGGGGCTGACCCCTCGTGGTGTGGCCTCACCTAGTATCTGCCTGCTCACTTTGTTTCCTCGGATTGGGGAAACAGTGAGTGGTTCCCACTGACAACTAACCGTGGGGAGTGTTTGTTTTGACTCCCATGGTCTGGGACAGGGAGGGAACAGGGAGGCTGATGGGTCATTCAGGCAACCACAGGGTCAGGAGATGGGGTGCAGTTTGCTAGTGACAGGATGGTAGGGCCTGGCATTGTGACATTAATTGTTTTTCCTTTTTTGCTGGGCCTGGTGATGATGAGATTGGCCATGAGCTATGCCCCCACTGTGCCATCTTGGCACACCTTGGCCATCCTCAGGCACCTCCCTAAAAGTACAAGGTCACCTCTGTGGAGGTGGCACTGGGGACAGTCAGATGTGGATTTGAATCTTTGCTTTACTGCTTAAACTGTGTGACTTTGAGTAAGTCATTTGACCTCTAAGACTCAGTTTTCTTACCTGCAAAATGGGGGCATTAATATGTACCCCTTAGGTTTCTTGAGGATTAAATGAAATACATTATACATAGTGCCTGCCACACACGAATTACAAAGCCCAGGGCATATGGGCATGAACTCTGGAGCCTAATCTCTAGTGTTTGAGGTTCTCACTGCCATCCTGTCTGCAGTGTACCTTTCTTGCCTATTTATTTTAATTTTTAGTGACACTGTGTTCATTGCCTCTTTAAGTCATTGAGGACCATCCTCCATGAAGCCTTCCCTAACCAGCTCAGCTCCCAATAAGCTCCTGTTGGACCCAGGTCACTAAGTCATGACCTCCTAAGGACAGAGGCTGGCCCATTATGCTCTGTGTCCCAGCACTTAGTTGGGGGAAGCAGAGGGAGAGAGGCCACAGTAAACATGTGACCAAAACCTGCTCAGGGACTGATGGAATCTTTTTCTTTCTTTGTTTTTTGAGAGGAGTCTCACTCTATCGCCCAGGCTGGAGTGCAGTGGCACAATCTTAGCTCACTGCAACCTCCTCCTCCCAGGCTCAAGTGATTCTCCTGCCTCAGCCTCCCGAGTAGCTGGGATTGCAGGCACCTACTACTGTGCCTGGCTAATTTTTGTATTTTTAATAGAGACGGGGTTTCACCATGTTGGCCAGGCTGGTCTCAAAACTCCTGGGCTCAAGCGATCCACCCACCTTGGCTTCCCAAAGTGCTGGGATTACAAGCATGAACCACCAGGCCCAGCTGGGGCTGATGGAATCTTAAGCCTCAAAAAATTATAAGGGTTATTGAATCTCTAACTGCCCAGCTACACACAGAATCCCCACCCCCCCGTTTGCACGCTTCTCATAAGTGGAGCTTGCTCCTTCCTTTCCACTGGCAGAAGGCTCTAAGTGTGAGCAAGTTCTTCCTCTCATGGAGCTGCAAGCTGCCTCTGCATTTCTCACTAACCCGATGTGGTGGAATGAGAAGACTTACATTTTTATTGCCTGCTGTATGTCAGGGCTGCACTGATGTCATGTCAGTTAATCCTCCAGAAACCCTCTTTCCCACTTCATAAAAGAGAAAACTGAGGCCCAGAGAGATCACGTGATTGCCCAAGGCCACACAGCTAAGATACAGCAGAGTCTGGATTCAAACTGGCAGAGGTGGGATTCAAACCCAAAGCCCCTGCTTGTTGTTTGACCCTTGCGGTCACTCAGAACACGCCTGCTCCCTCTGCCTGGGGCAGCCCTTCAGAGCCACGAAGCCAGCAGTCCTGTCCCCCTGAGTCTTCTCTTCTTCAGGCTGAACAGCTCCACTTTCTTCGTCCATTCCTCCTACGACAGGGGGCAGAGTAGAGCAGGGAAAGAGCCGCATCTGACGCCACAAGACATGGGCTCTAGCTCCCGTCCTCCACTTACTGGCTGTGTGGCCTTGGGCCAGGTACTTCACCTCTCTGAGCCTCAGTTTCCTCATCTGTAAAATGGGGATAATAATACCTAACTCTCAGGATCGTTGAGGATCAAATGAGATAGTGAATGTGAAAGCACTTTGTAAACTCCAAAGTGCTACACACATTGGTTATTATTATCGTCGTCATTCCCTCTTCCACCCCCACCCTGCCAGCCAAAACCATCAGTAGAGGAAAGGAACATTAGAACGAATTCACACTTAAAAAGAGTTTAGTTTGGTTCATGACTTAACAGTTCACTCTACCCAGAGGACTTATGTTTTACAAGAAAGGTCATGAAACTGAACTTTCAGTAATTCCCTTATCAATGAAATACCTCGCTGGACGTGGTGGCTCATGCCTATAATCCCAACACTTTTGGGAGGCAGATGTGGGAGGATTGCTTGAGTCCAGGAGTTCGAGACTAGCCTGGGCAACATGGCAAAACCCCATCTCTACAAGAAATACAAAACTTAGCTGGGCGTAGTGCCTCACAACTGTGGTCCCAGCCACTCAGGAGGCTGAGATGGGTGGATTGGTTGAGCCCAGGAGGATGAGGTTGCAGTGAGCCAAGATCATGCCACTGCACTCCAGCCTGGGTGACTGAGACCCTGTCTCAAAAAAAAAAAAGTAAGAAAAACTCCTCTTGACCTTCAACTGGTGATAGGAGCAGACTGGTGAAGAGGGTGGGTTTCTCATAGAATTAGAACTATGGTTCTGATGTCTACTTACCTGGGAATGATAAGATCCACCTCTGAAAAAAGGCTGAACACAGCCAGCCTCCAGGCCCTCCTACTTTGAGGATGTTGTGAGGGCCCTCCTGCCTGAGAAGACCCCCTAGTGCTGAAATCCTGCCATTAGACATCTGCCTATTTCACCAGGGCAGGCATCACCCTGCCTGGCTCCTCGCAAGGTGCAACAGCGCCTTCACCCCAGGAGAGGGAGCACTATTGAGCCTTGGCAGCAGTGGGAGGAGCTTATCAGAACTGTAGAGAACCACAGTCTGGCCCATTATCTCTCTGCATCTTGGAATCGGGGGCTCTTAAATCTGGAGGGGCAGTCAGAGGCACTTGATCAGCAAAATGTCCTTAAGGCCCCCGTGGGGTCTGGGGCACAGGACGGGGGACTGGCCAGAGGTACACCCTGCTGGGAGTGGGCCAACTCTCACCTTTTACCAGCTTCCAGAGGTAGATCTCCACCAGGTCTGAGGCCTCATGTTCCAGGGCAAAGCGACGCAGGTTGTCTGGGCTTGGGGATACTGATGTGTGGACAAGGACCCGGCCTGGCGCCTTGGGACACCTGGTAGAACTTATCTCACTGTGGTCACGGTCTGCCTTGTCCTCTGGAGAGACAAGAAGCTTGTGAAGTATTCAATTCAATACACATTGGCTATACCTCTCAAACATTTTAATATTTGGCTGGGCATGGTGGCTCATGCCTGTAATCCCAGCACTTTGGGAGGCTGAAGTGGGCGGATCACCTGAGGTCAGGAGTTTGAGACCAGTCTGGCCAACATGGTGAAATCTCATCTCAAAAAAAAAAAAAAAAAAAAAAGCTCTAATATTCTAACATTTTGTGACTTCATGGAATCCAGAATATTATTTGATTCTGTCTATGTTAACAACCTCTGAATCTATTATTATAACACTGCATAGTTCTATCCATTTAATATTTTCATCTGGCATTTTCCACTCCTGTGTTTGACATGCCTTGCATCCTGTGACACTGATGCATGCCCCCTTCCATGTCTGAAATGTTCTAAGTGTCTGTGGACCTGGGGAGAGAGACCCAGGGCTCACTCTGATCAGCACCCTCCCTGCTCCCAGTGCCCCTGTGTACCTGGGCAAATCTTGCAGCATTTCCCAGCCACCTTCTTGGGGTGACGGCAGGGGTACTCAGTGGGGCAGGTCACACGCTGGCAGTCCTGGTGGCCATCCTGACAGGTGCATAGGATGCAGGGCAGGGGGCCGAAGGCACGAAAGGCTGGGTGCCACACCTCCCCGTGGGAGTATGTCTTCCCGCCATGCACGCAGGCTGAACAAGGAGGGTGGGAAGGGAGGAGGATCAGAGCCTCAGACCTGGCCAGGGCCTCGGGTCCAGCAACAGGTGGGGTGGGCCCTGGGGGAGCCCTTGCTTTAACAGTCCAGCCCAGGCACACTGCCTGCAAAGCACAGGTTAGGGTATAAAACCGTCCCCTCTCCCCAACACCCCCTACCACAGCACTCAGAGCTGAGATGGGCCCAGAAGGAACTTGCTGAGATGGAGAGTCCTCCCCTGCCCTTCAGGGCATTTTTGTGGGAGCAAAGAGAGTGCTGATCTTGTGGTAGAACTGAGATCAACTTCTGTTACCACCTGGCCATGTGAGCCCTGGCAGGTCCCTTCCTCCCTCTGCCTCAGTGTCCCATCTGAACAAGGTGGGGCCAGCACTCAGTAGCCCCACAGCTCTTCCCTCTCCAGCAATTGGGGTGTCCTGCACTGAGGTCTCTTTTCTCACCTTTTGTGGCCATGGCTGTCCATCTGGCCTCCTTCCCTACTTCATCCCCACTGTCTTCCTGCAGCCTAGCTCTGCTTCCTCCTTCCTTTGTCAAAATCCTTCCCTCAGCACACTTCCTTATGTTAAAGTCATTTATTTACATGTCTGTCTCCCCAACTAGTCTATGAGCCCCTCAAGGGCAGAGACCATTTTCTATTTCCCATTTCCCATCTATCTGTTCTGTCTCCCCGTCTTCCCAGCAAAGACATGGTACATGCTTAAAACAGACCTTGTAGGCCAGGCACAGTGGTTCACACCTGTAATCCCAGCACTTTGGGAGGCCCAGGTGGGCAGATCACCTGAGGTTTGGAGTTTGAGACCAGCCTGACCAACATAGAGAAACCCTGTCTCTACGAAAAATATAAAATTAGCTGGGTGTGGTGGCACATGCCTGTAATCCCAGCTACTCAGGAGGCCGAGGCAGGAGAATTGCTTGAACCTGGAGGTGGAGGTTGCAGTGAGCTGAGATCATGCCATTGTACTCCAACCTGGGCAACAAGAGTGAAACTTTATCTCATAAAAAACAAACAAATAATCTTGTACTATTTCCAGGACTGGTTCTGTCTCTAAGTCAATACTCTGAACCTCAGTGTCCTCATCTGTCAGATGGGGGTTTGAACCTGGTGATCTTTAAGAGTACCTTCCTTCAGTTTTGATGTTCTTTGAGTCTACAAGCTCATGGCCAAGTTGGAATTGGGGAACTGCTGAGTGGAGGGTGCAGGGGGGTGGGGGTGGGAGGTGGGAGCAGTCAGGGCCCCACTTCCCTGCCTTACAGATTGGAGGAGGGTCTGGTCCCCACCTTTCTTATGTTTCTCCTTCAGGACAATCTTGACAGTTGTGCTGCCTGCCCCCTTGGGTCGAAAGTGGCGAGGGATGAAGCTCAGAGGGGCACTGAGGCCAGTGGGGGCTGGGGTTCCTGGACCTCTCCTTCTGCCACCATTGCTCAAACACGGATCCTGAGGATGTCTCTGCAAGTGGAAGGAAGGATGAAGGTCACTGACTGAGCATGGCAGGCCCCAGCTGGAGCCAGAACAGCAAGACAGGCTGCAACAAGAGGCTGTGGGGAGACCCCAGCATGAATTCCCAGAGAAGAGAGGGCAGAGGCCAGGGATAGAAAGATCTGGATGAGGTCTAAGATGTTTTCAGACAGTCTGACCTTTGAAAACTCTCAGCAGATAGTGATTTGGAAATCCAGCCTCCATGAAGCCCTTCTTGAGCCTTGTCAGAGCCAAGGCTTTGGGGCTGAGGTGGGCAGAGCATGTTGAGGTCTTGATCTGGCAGATATAACTGATCAGGGATGTGGAGAACTTCGTATTTGAATGGCCTAAGTTAGAGGCCATTGCCTGCGAGGAAGGTGCCTGGACTAAGAGGAGACGCAGGCTGAGATGGAACAGTGTCAAAGTGTTTCTCGAGAGGAAAATGAGGAAGTTTGGGGCCTGCTGCTGCCCTGCGTGGTGACCTGCTTCTCCCAGGCCTCACCTTGCCCATCAACCATGATGGGACCCGTGACAGGAGGCTAGGGAGAGGGGCTGGAATATAGTGGGGGCTCATGTAGCCGACCCAGGGGACAAACAAGAAATGAGGACAATAACTGGTATTGTCTGCCCCAGAGTCATAAGATTTAGGCCCTAGATCCCAGCCCCCTGACCTCACCCCATCAATAAGGCTGTGTACTCACCATCCCGTGGAACGACTGTACACTGTCTTCTTCAGCCGATTGCTCACTTGCTTCATCTGAAAACTCAAAGGGAAGCTGGGTCAGCCTCAGGCTCCTCAGCCTTGCTGCCTAGAGCCCTGAGGCCTTCACCTATAGGCTCTGCCCTTTCCCAAGACCTACTGCCACAGCTGCAGCCCAGCCCACGAGCAGGCTCCTTTGCCCCAGAGGTGACTTCTTCCACTTCTCATTATAGCCTCTCTTCATCCTGGTTGGGTTGATGAAGTCCCTACAACTGGGTTGCTGCCTCAGTTTCCCTGTACTGACCTCCTGGTCACCATTAGGACTGAACTCCTTGAAACAGCATTTTGTTTGGTTCTTACTGAGAGCTCACCTCTCTGGGACACTGGGCCATCCCCTTCAGTATTTACCATGGATGGCCAAAGGCACAGAGTCCCATCCCTGTGGCCTGCATACATGCAGTTTCCTGGGCCCCCACTGTACACAGCCACACTTGAAGTCACCAGGCCTTGGTTTATACTCCTAGGACCGTACACTCCAGCCCCTTGGCCCTTCCAGCCTGAGCACCCTGCCAGTCCTCATTCCCCTGGGAAACCAGCACAGAAAGCCCTTTGGAGCCCTGCAGCTTCCTAAACCCGAGTGGGCCTCTCTCTCCCTAGCCCTTGCCTCACTCCACAGTCTGGCTCCCACCAATCATTCCCGCTTCAAAGACCCAGAACATTGGAATTAGACTGTGTTAGCAATCACAGGGTACAACTGAGGTCCAGAGAAGGAAAGGAATTTGTGGAGTTAGCTGGAAGAACCAGGAATAAACTGGAGTCACCTGACCCCTAGTCCAGTGCTCCTTCCAAACACCAACATAGGGGATGCATCCACTATGGAGCACTCCCCTACCTAAGTGCCACCTCCTCCAGGAGGCTTTCCTTGACTACCCCAGCCTGCAGGGAACAGTCTGACTACTTCATTCTGCTCAAGTCTAGCCTGCCCTTCACTAACCGATGTGTTGCCTTTCTGTTTTATATAGATGGTCTACCTGGGTTCCATATAACAGACATGTTCTGAGCTCTGGTAAGCCCAATACTGTGACCAGCTCTGCTGTGAGGCAAGCAGGATGAGACGGAGTCCCTACCTATATTAGAGCCCTTTCACATGCCACTTATGGTCCTCTCAGCTCATCTGATTGCAGAGACTTTGTCCCTCATGGCAGGCACTGCAGCAGCAATCCCCCCCACTTCCCTCCAGCTCAGCCTCACAGTGCCCTCCTCAAGCCCGCAGCTCCTATCCACATCCCCTGCCCCCACTCCTTACCCCAGCCCACTCCTGCCTCTGCTCCCAGGCCTATTTAGCACCCACCCATGCATGCACAGCAGGGAGGTACCACCCATGGATGAGCCTTTGGACTCAATGGAGAGATAACCAGTGGCATGTGGACATATTCTTACTGCTTCTACCATCCCCAGACTTTGCTGAGAAGCAGAGACTATCTAGACCAACAGGTCACACTTGGTTAGCAAGTGGAGGCCAGCCCCTGGACATAGTCCTATATTGCTTCTCTCTCCTTCCCTGCTTCACTCCCCTTTTCCCTCTTTCCTCCCCATAGGACTGCATTAAAAAATAAGTGGCCCATCAGCTTCTGCCAGGCTCTGCTTTCTTGGGGGCGCAGGCTTAGCCCCCACCCTGGAGGAAGGAGCAGTCTGCTACATGCTGGGTGTCCCCTGCAGTTCCTCAGAGCTCTAACAGTCTATGGCTAGGCCCATGGAGTGAGCTCTGCCAGATGGAGGGACAGACTCACCTTTGCAGGCCTGGCAGCAGGAGTCTGGCAGTGGGAGGGGTGCGGGGCAGCCTGGTTCAGGGCAGGTCATGAGGCCACAGTAGATCTGGCCCTCCTGAAAGATAGAGCATACTGGCTCGGAAATGAGCTCTGTTGAGGACTAGCCTTGCGGGCTAGGAACACCCCTTTCCTTGGGAGCAAATGGCCTTGAGGTCTCCCCTAAGGTGGGGAGGGGAAGCAGCAGCATCTCCTGGGCAAGGGGCAGCCAGCTCAGAGGGGAGGGGGTTCCCGAGCCCTCCCAGCCCTATTTCCAGGCCCTGCAGGAAACATCCAGCCTTCAGCTTCTGACTTACTCACAGCCAGGCTGTCCCTAGGCTCTCACTGCTGACTGTTGAGGTGGGATTCTCCCCATCCTACAGATAAGGAGCCAGAGTGGGGCCTGAGCTCTCTGTCTCAAGTCAGAAAGACAGTCGGGGCCCAGTCTTCAAGCTTTTCCAACTGAAATCAGTGTCATGGGAGGGGGATGGGTGGGTGATACCTGGGCTCATCTTGTTCTTTACTGAAAGCCCTTGGTCTCCAGCTTCAGGATCCAGCCTTGAAAGGCATGACTGCAGGGGAAGGGGCTTTTGAGGGTGAGGGGTTAGGTGACCTTAGGTGGTCACTTCTTTCCTCTGGGCCTGAAATTCCTCCTCTGTGAAGTGAGGGTCACACCCATCTGGGTGGTGCAGATCCAGCAAGGGAATGGTTGTGAAAAGCACAAGGCACAATGTGCCTGGGAGGTGCTGTTGCCTTGAGACCTTTCCCTATTCCCTTTCCAGAGAGTCTGAGAAATGAGGATTCTGGTCCTTTGGGTGAGGCCAGAAGTCAAGGTAGCCTCATATAATCAGGGATGAGAAGAAAGAAGGGGAGGCCCAAGTACCCAGGGAAAATGAACAGAGGAATCCTGAGAATGCTCTTACCACCCACCACCAGCATTTCTGTCTCTCCCCACAGCCTCCTCCTCATCCAGGCCTCATCCCACCAGGATAGGCAGCAGGATGTGGGGAGAACATTGGCTTTGGAGCTAGGTGGCCTTGCGCCTGAATTCTGGCTCTGTCACTTACTAGCTGTGTGATCTCAGGCAAGTCACTTAACTGTTCTGAGCCCCAGTTTTCTCATCTGAAAAATAGAAATAGTGATATCCTTTTCCTAGGGTCATTCGGAGACTGTATATAAACCAGGCATTTATATGAACCTGGTGACACAATAGACTCGACCACTGCAAAAGGTAATTGCTCATACTCTGCAAAAGGTAATTGCTTACTAGGTTGATTTATAAGTAGTCACTCATTATTTGCAGGCTGTTTGCTCTGCAGCACAGAAACTTTAAGATTCAAAGACTCAGACTGATGGGACTCCATCACTGAAAAGATGGGGTGGCAGGCCCAAAAGAAGTGACTTGCTCAAGGTTACACAGGGAACTGGGATAGTGATGGAGCTCAAACACAGGTTTCTGATGCCCAATCTGCAGAGAACATTAATGATCACTTGGTCAGACTCCCTTACACACTCCGAGGAACTGAGGCCCAAGTGTGGTGATCAGGTGGTAAGGAAATCAGGAGGGCAGGGGTGTCTCCTGCCAATTCATGAATGAGTTGCCAAGCCCAGGGTTAAACATGACATGCTGAAAGCCACCTGCAAACCTATAGGAAGGCCATGCCTGGACCCCAGGTTTCCTACAAGGAGGGGCTAAAGACTTTCCAGAGCAGGCCCTGCTCAACTTCAGTCTCTGTTCCATGGTAACAGTGTTTCATCAGCCCTGCCTGCCCCAGGCACAGCTCTAACAATAGGCAGGAAGAGTTTAAGTAGCTTCAGGTTAATTTCCATTTGCTACAGATAATCTGGCCCTGTCTCTGTCCCCCAGGACTGATAACTGATCATTTGCACATTCATTCTTTCATTCAACAGTCATTACAGATGTCTTCTGTGTTTTAGGCCCTGGACTGACAGCAGCAGAGGATAAAGAAACGAAATGCCTATGTTTCCTCCCCTCAAGGAATGCAGCATCTACTGGGGGAAACAGAAGCTCAGGAAGGTGTGGCAGCTCAGAGAACAGTCACCTGACCCAGCTAGGGACAGGACATTCCAAACCCCAGATGTTCCCTTCCCCCTGAGCCCATTCATTTTGCTTTGGCCAGGAGGAACAATCCCCCCAGCCCACAGTCCACGCTACTGTGTTCTTTGCAGGCCCAGAGTGCTGGCCTGTGCTGCAGGAAAGGCAGGAGTCCTTACGGTGCAGCTGCAGAGGACACACTGGTTGGGCAGGCGGGAGGGAAACAGCTCATGGGCACTGAAGATCTCTCCGTGTTGGTACATGGTCCCATTGTGCTGGCAGGACTTTGGAGGGGCCCGGAGCCCAGAGGGAGTGTGAGGTTCTGCAGTAGGGGAGGGCCAGGAGGAAGAAGAAAATGAGGTTTCATGTGAAATCTTAAAAAAAAAACTTTGCTGAAATTAACAAGGCCACTTTTCTGAAGATTTTGCACTTGACCCCAACTTGACATTTAAACCAAGCTCTGGCCTGGGCCTTGCTAGCCATTCCCCATATCAGCTAACTAACAGGTCCCTCTGATACCTACATCTGACTGTGTCCCTCCCTCCCACAGCCCCTACCACAGCCCTCCAGCCCCCTCAGTGTCTGAGCCAGCCCCAACCAGAGCAACAAGAAAGAGCTGGCAGCTTTAGCTTCTGCTTAGTGGGGCTCGAGTTAGTTCATCCAGCATTGAATGAGGGCGCATGAAGCACTTCTCAGTGCCAGGCACTGTTCTAGGTGCTGGGAATACAGCAGTGAGCAGAAGAGTCCCTGTCCTCATGGGGTTACATTCTAGTGGCGCCAGCTGGGATGATTGTCCCTGTGATTATATAAACTTCTGTCATTCCTGGCCCCTAGAGCCTCCCTCCCCATCACCTGCCTCATCCTGCCAGGTGGAGGGGTAAGCCTCTGGTCCTGAGAGAACCCACTCATTCATTCAAGACCCCTTTACTAAGCACTTCTCTGTTCCAGGCACCATGCTAGGCAATGAGAATGGAGCAATGAATAAGATTAAGCCCTTGCCATCAGGAAACTCAAACTCAAAAATTAGGGGTGTGGTGGCTCACACCTGTAATCCCAGCACTTTGGGAGGCCTAGGTGGGAGGATTATTTGACTCTAGGAGTTCAAGACTGGCCTGGGCAGCATAGTGAGACCTTATCTCTACAGATTTTTTTTTTTTTTTAATTTTTAAAAAAGAAGTTTGAAGTCTAATTAGGCAGAAAGATAAGCCACAAGCAATGGTGCTGTAGCAGGTAAGGGCTAGGGCAGATGAAAGCACAGAAGTTGTGACAGCACAGAGGAGGAGCCTCTAATTTAGCCCGGGAGGGGTGGCCGGGAAAGACTTCCTGAAGTGCCAATGGTTAGGAGAGTCTTGAAGAACTAGTGGAGCTGAGCAGGCAGAGGGCAGGGGATGGAAAGAGAGAGGGAGTGAAGAGCATTTGAGCTGCAACAGGCCTGGGCCTAGCACAGGGGGAAATTCCAAAGTCAGCAAGAAGAGCTGAGGCCCCTGGAGTTAGCATCAGACACAAGTACACTCCCCCACTGTGCAGGATGCAGCTGAGAGCCACTGTTCCCCTCAGGAACCCGGAGCCAGGAATCTCTATAACCCATGTCAGGACCACGAGTCAGATGCCTACTGGGCTCCCCCTGGAAAAGGAGTCCCATCCACACCAGCTCACAGGAAAGCTCTGATTCCAGAGCCCAGAGCCCAGGCCAGAATCTGGAGCCTCCTGTTCGCCACTTTATGCTTCTAAACATCAGTTTTCCTCTCAGCTTCCCCTCCGACTCCAAGTTGGCGGCCCCTCTGCCTGCTCCTCACTGGACACTTGGTTCTACCAGTTTCCTTCCCAGACTACCTCTCCTTCCTCTGACCTCTTCTTCCTAGAATCTCATTCTCAGAGGCTCTTAGAATCTTAAAATCATGAAATCATAGACATTTAGCATCAGGACACATAGAGTCCCTGAATCTCAGCACCGGGAGAATTCTCAGAGAACAGGACCCAACTCCTTTCATCCTTCTCAGCCCCTGCAGTGGTAATTCTAGGGTCTTTCCATAGGACCTTCAAGCTCAAGATCACTTACCTTCACTTCCCAGACTGCACCCAGGCCCTCCAGCTCTGGCCGGCCTGAGAGAGACTGGAGCCCACGTGTGCCAGTCAGCAGGCCAGGTGAGCAGGCCTGTTTCCTGCAGCTACTTTCTGCATGTCCTCCCTCCCTTGCTATGCATGCCTGCTTAAGGACATGAAGTCTCTGCTACCCCAGCACTGCCTGGGGTCTGGGATATTTCCTCCTTGAGCACCTTTGTGTATCTACACCTCTGTCCCTCTCCTTGCAGGGGTCTCCCTCAGCTAGAAGGCCACATTGGGAGTAGGAGAAAGGCCAACGGGTAATGGGGAGGAGCATGACTACTTACCCACACACCTGGGACAGCACTGCTGTGGCTCCGTCACGGGCTGGGGGCAGTGGACAGGCGGGCAGTGGAGGCGGTAACAACTCACATGGGCGCTCTGAAGGGGACACAAGCGTTAGCCCTGGTTCAAATAACCATTGTCTCCCACCTGTACCTGTCCTTTCCCAAAACTCCCACCCCAACTGCAGAACTCTGTACTTGTCATAAACCTGTGATTGGACTGAAAACAATTAAGTATGCCCAGTCCCTCCCCATCCCTGGCCGCCAAGGGGATCTCACTTGGCCCTCACGTCCATGTGCCTCCCTGTTCATGGACTTGCTCAAACACTGTGTCCCCTTCACAGAGAAAGACATGTAAAAGCCTAGAGCTGTTTGACATTGATCTTGATGCTTTGACTGCTGTTTTAACTCTGGGGCTTGATCCTTTTAACTGTGGGCTGAGCCTTATGGTTCAGAAAAAAATGAAACAGGACAGGTGACCAGGAGGGAGTATAAGACTAAAAACCTGATGTAGAGAAGACAGATGGCTTTATGGTCCACCCCCTAAATCTCTAAGAGGTTTGGGCAATCCTGGACAAAGCCTTTGGAGATGGCACTAAAGAAGGAGGGGCCTGAAGTTCCTTCTCTTTTCAAGTCTAGCAAGTGAGAGAACTGGGCAGGGGAATGTACGCAGAGAGAGATGAGCAGAAACTGAGGGAGAGTGGCCACTACCCCTTGCGAGGGTCTTTCCAGCTCTTCAGGCAGGTTTTTGGCCCCTCATCAGCCTTCCTGTACTTTGTTCTTCGCTCTGTTACAAGGGTCACTCTGCTGTATTGTGATGAACCATTTACACCTGTGTCACTGATTTAACCAGGAATTCCAAAGAATAGTCAGCATGGGGCCTTGCTCCAAGTCAGTGGCTGCTGGCATCTGAATGAATGCATGAGTGAGTAAAGAAATGAGAGTAAGGAAAGGAGGGGTCAATGGGCCTCTCTCAGATGAATCAAGCCTGCTTTGTTCAAAATTCTGAAGTGGGCAAAGTTTGTTTCTAGCTCCGCCTCTTGCCTCCCCACTTGTTCCTTCCCCCTGCCCTCTCCCTGAACCTGAGTTCCCTGGCAGTACTTCTCCCAGAGGGAGCCTCTTGCCCCATGGAAGACCCTAGACTGGCCCTGGGCCTTCTGGGGTCACTGCTTCCCAAGATGGCCAGAGGTAATCGTGAGGACTAGTCAGTGCTAAGGGGTATCCCAGGGTCCACAGGATTGGTCTGAGCTCTAACAGGGGCCTTCTAGAGGCCCAGCACACATGGATGCTTCATAAATGTCTAGAGGATAGACTGAGGCCCCCAGATGAGAAACTAGGATGGAGTGTAAGGAACTATGTGGCCTGAAGAGTTAGAATCAGTCTCTTGATTCTGACCTTGGAGGAGCCAAGGATGGTGATAATTATTAGCACCATGAAGCAGGAAATAAGATGGAGACAGGCTAGTGGCAAAAGGGCAGGTGGGCCCTTGGAAAAGCCTTTGCAGCCACAGGGAACCTCTCAGGAAAGTCATAGCCTCCATTTATTGAGTGGCTACTGAGGTAGGGACTTTATATTATATAAAAATCATCCCACTTCATCTTCTCAACACCCCTAGAGGTAGGTACCATATTATTAGTCATATTTTTTAAATGAGAAAATAGCCTTTGAAAGGTTAAGTTGCCTAAGATCACACAGCAGGTAAAAACTGTGACCAGGGCCAGTGCACTTTCCATGGTGCTGAGCTGCCTCTGGTGGGTAGGTGTGGATTCATTTATGCTCAGTATTTGCTGCAGATCTACTTGGTGCCAGGCCCTCTTTTGAGCAGTTGGGATGTAGCAATGAGTGGGACCGACAAGGTTTCTGCTCTCCCGGAGCTCACATCCTAGCAGTGAAAGGTAGATTTATTAAACAAGTAAGCAAGGGCTGGGCATGGTGGCTCACGCCTATAATCCCAACACTTTGTGGGGGCTGAGGTGAAAGGATCACTTGAAGTCAGGAGTTCGAGACCAGCCTGGACAACATGGCAAAACCTCATCTCTATTAAAAATAATGAAAATTAGGCAGTAGTGGCGTGCCTGTAACCCCAGCTGCCTGGGAGCCTGAGGCAGGAGGATCACTTGAACCCAGGAGATGGAGGTTGCAGTGAGCCAAGATTGCGCCATGGCACTCTAGCCTGGGTAACAGAGTGAAACTCCATTTCAAAAAAAGAAAAAATGTAAGCAAGTAGGAACAAGAAGATTTCAGATGTTAAATTTATGATACACAATAAAATAGAGGGCCAGGCCTGGTGGCTCATGTCTGTAATTCCAGCACTTTGGGAGGCCAAGGCAGGCAAATTGCTTGAGGTCAGGTGTTTGAGACCAGCCTAGAGAACATGGTAAAGCCTTATCTCTACTAAAAATGCAAAAATGAGACAGACATGATAGTACATGCCTATAATCCCAGCTACTTGGGAGGCTGAGGAACAAGAATCACTTGAACTCGAGAGGCAGAGTTTGCAGTGAGCCAAGATCGTGCCACTGCACTCCAGCCTGGGTGACAGAGCAAGACTCTGTCTCAAAATAAATAAATAAATAATAAATAGAGGAATATTATTTCATTAACAGGGTAGACTATCTTAAATACAGCTGTCAGAGAAGGCCTCATAAGGAAGTAACATGTATGTTATGAACTGGGAGATGACAAGGAACTGTTCATGAGAAGATCTGGGGGAAGAACATTCCTGGTGGAGGAAACAAGTGGGAACAAGTTTCAAGTGTTGGAACAACCGACAGAGGTCAGTGTGGCTGCGGCGGAGTGAGCAGGTATGAAATGAAATTGGAGAGTAAGGCCAGGCGCAGTGGCTCATGCCTGTACTCCCAGCACTGGGAGGCCAAGGCAGGCGGATCACAAGGTCAAGAGATTGAGACCATCCTGGCCAACATGGTGAAACCCCATCTCTACTAAAAATACAAAAATTAGCCAGGTGTGGTGGTGCACACCTGTAGTCCCAGCTACTCAGGAGGCTGAGGCAGGAGAATCTCTTGAACCCAGGAGGCGGAGGTTGCAGTGAGCTGAGATTACACCACTGCAGTCCAGCCTGGAGACAGAGGAAGACTCTGTCTTAAAAAAGAAAGAAAGAAAAAGAAAAAGAAACTGGAGAATAAGACAGAAACAGAGCCCTCACCAGGGATTTAAATTATTTAGGTCCAACGAAAGGCCATTGTAGTTTTTTTTTTTTTCTTTTCTCTCCTTTTGTCCCTGAATTAGAACATGACAATCAACACAGTCTCTGTATGCCTGTCAATGAGTTCAGCATCTGTTATTGGAGGGTTTTAAGAGTGGAATGACATCATCAGTTTCATGCTGAGAAAAGACCATTCTTGCAGGGTGTGGTGGCTCACGCTTGTAATCACAGCACTTTGGGAGGCCGAGGCGGGTGGATTTCTTGAGCTCAGGAGCTTGAGACCAGCTTGGGTAAATCCCATCTCTGCACAAAATACAAAAATTAGCTGGGCATGGTGGCACGCACCTGTGGTCCCAGCTACTCAGGTGGCTGGCATGGAGGATTGCCTGAGCCTGGAAAATTGAGGCTGTAGTGAGCTGAGACTGCACCACTGTACTCCAGCCTGGGTGCCAGAGTTAGATCGCATCTCAAACAAAACAAAACAAAACAAAACAAAACAAAACATAAAACCATTCTCACTCCACATGGAGGATGGATTTAGAGGGGGAAACAGGAAAACCTGTTAGGAGGCTTGCGTGGCAGCCCAGGAAAGAGATGATGGGTGACGGTGGCTTGGATTACAGGGAGCAGTGATGGTGGAGAGAAGTGGAGGGATTGAGGGTTGATTTTGCAGTTACCAGCTAAAGTCCTCTGGGTTGAAGAAACTGTATGTGAACTCTGAGAAATGAATTAACTCCAATGGCTCAAAACACTTGGACTTTGTCAACTGGACCACATGATATGTCTGGAATTTTCTGTTATGATTTCCTTTCTGTTTTCTGGCTATTTTTCATAAAGTTTTTCTTGAAAAGGCTGATTGGCCTCAGATGTGCTAAGGAAAACCGAGGGGAGACTGTCACAGTGGGGGTTGTGTCCCCATTTCTACTTGGGGCCAACACTGTAGAAGCAATGGAGAGTCAGAAGAAAAGATCCCAGGAGGAGTAAGACCCCAGAGTCAAAGCCAAGAGGGGGCTAGCCCCCCACTCCACCTCCCCACAGGGTCTCCTCCAGAGCTCTTCTCTGCTCCCACCCCAGAGGGTTGTGTTTTAACAAGGGAGACTCTTAGAGGCCTTCTGCATTCCTCTCTCAGCTCTGTGTGAAGAAAGAGAGGGTCTGGGAGGCTGGCTCTGGCTGGAAGCTAGCTACCCCTCCCTCCAAGCACCAACACCCAGACAAAGAAAGCTGGGGACATCCAGACTGGGCGTCAGGCAGCTGAGCTAAAGCCAAGGGTTTTTCAAGCCTCCTAAGCCACTTCCTCCTCTTCCTCCTCTCCAATCTCATTTCTTGCCTATGAATTCTGGACCATGTGGAGGTTTCATTTATTCTACCCAGTTGATTTTACAAGGCCCTGTGGAGGTGCTGGATTGGTGGAGGGGGTTGGGGCAGGAGGAGACGAAAAACAAAGACATGGTCTCCACCCCAGGTGGTTCAGCCTTTGGCAAGGAATCGTACCAGGCATGAGTGAGGGCCCAGCAAGTCCTGGTCTCAGGGATTCAGTCTGGGAGGGGCAATAACCATGCTACCTGGCCAACAGTGCTCAGGGAAAGGGGCAGAGAAACTCATGTGGGATCCCAGAAGAAGATACTTCCAGTGGAGGTCATTTTTCCATTTGGGCAAATCCTTGAGGAACAAGTAGTTGGGCTAGTGGTGTTGGGGGAACACACCCTAAGGCAGGGCCGAAGTGGCTGGAGGAAAAATATGTGAAAAGGAAGGAATGAGAGATTAGGTCCAAAAGGCTCTGTCTTGGGCTGTGTGGGAAGCAGGGAGGCTGGCACCAGCACAAGGTGGAAAGAAGGCTGGGATATGAGACAGGAGACCAGGGTCCTCATCCCAACCCAGCCATTGATGTTTGTGTGACTTATCTTTGGGAGGTACACTCTAGCCATCTAATCCTATATATTGAGTACTCAGTAGTGAAGTGGCTTGTCCCAAGTGTCTCAGCTGCCGCTGACAGCACAGTTCTAGAAGGCATGCATGGTCCTCCTTCTGAGGTGATTCTCTGGAGGGTTCTCACATCCCTGACACAGATGACCAGGTGGCCAGAGGAACCTACCTCTGAGCAGGTACAGCGCAGGCAGTACATCAGGCCTTGTGGCTCCAAGTAGGGGTGCCAGCTCTCGCCAGGGGAGTATCTCTTCCCATGGAAAAGGCAGAACATGTCTGGGCCTGGCAAACCAACCAGTGCCATGTTAGTCCCAGGAGGCTCTAGCCCAAAGACCCTGTCTCATTTCTCCTTCTTTCTGGCTCTAGAAGAGATGTCATCTGGACCACTCAGGCAAAAGAGAATCTGCGGGACAACTGGGCATGCTCTCCAGGCAGGGGGCCAGAATGTCTGAGTCTGAATCTTGGCTTGACCACACCATTACTGTGCGACACTGGGGATGCCACTGACCCTCTCTGAGCCTTAATGCTTATCTCACAGGGCAGTTAGGGAATCAAGCAGTGAAACGCTGTACAGATTTACATTGTGGTATCAGTGTTAGTTATGATTAGACAAATGAGGCCCAGAGAGGATAAGTTACATCTAAGGGCCACACGGCAAGTCAGTCACTAGGCAGGGATGACAGCGCCAGTCTCCTGATTCAGTCCTGCGCTCCTCTGTCTTCACAATCACACTCATTTCCTTTTTATTTGTCCCATTTGGCCTATTATTTAGTACATCACCACACTCTTCCCTCTGTCTCCACCCGTCTCCTCTCCCATCCCCCTCCTCCGTACACACACACACACACACACACACACACACACACACTCACTCTCTCTCTCTCTCTCTCTCTCTCTCTCTCTCTGGGTCCTGTGGCCCACCCTTTGAACAAAGCCCTCCTAGTGTGAAGATCACCAGCCCCTGTGTAGAGGAGGGTTGGTAGGGATAGGCCCAAGCCACCTGCTGGGAGCTTTCTTGCTTTCACACTGTACCATGTCCTGACATTTCAGTGAGCCATGATGGAAGGTTGTTAGGAAACTAACTTTCAAGTAGCCTTAAAAATGGTCGTTGCTACTACCGTGATTTGTGATTGGCATATCAATGGACTTTTTTTGCAACTGTATATCAGTCGTCAATATTCTGATGAATGCTTCTAAGAACTAGAATTGTTTGTTCCATGGGTTGGCTATCTCTCCTGCAATCCTGCTTTCCTAAAACCTCTGCCTCTCTTACCTCCCATAACCCATTGATCCACTCCTGCTCCCACCTCCTGTCCACTCACCGCCCAGCCCTGGGTCACACCTCCCAGCCTAGTGCTGCAGTCTCATGACCCACCTCTCTGCCTCCTGCCCCATCCTCGCCAACCCTCCGCTACACCGGTACCTGGTGCTCTTCACACCAGCAGGGAAAAACACACTATTGCCTGAGCTCTTTTCAGGAGGAACTGGGAGGCCCAGCACAAGCTAAGTTCCAGTAAAGGTTTGTGGAATTAAATATGGAGAAGGGAACCAACATTCATTGACTATCTTCTCTTTGCCAAACTCCTTACAGAAGTTAGTTATCTCATTAATATTGTTGTTTTGACCATTCCTCAAGTGAGATGAGCACCCAAGGCCATGCCAAAAATTAAACTTAACGCTTGTAAAGTGCTTACTGAGTCAGTTTCTGACCCTTAGTTGAATGCTATTATTATGATAATTGTGGTCACAGTCACAAAGCCACTGCAAAGTGGACATTGTCATCTTCTGGAAAAGATGACAATATGCATCTTGCAGTGGCTTTGTGACTATGACCACAATTATGAGAGGGCTCACAGAGACTACGCCACTTGCCTAAAGCCCTCTGCTAGGATTTCAACCCAGGGCTGCTGCCTCCAAAGCAGAGCTCCTTTCTCTTTACCTCATCTCCTATGGCTTTTCACCCAATCCCAGGGCCTAAAGGCTCAACTGCCTGCTGCTCTCTGCTATCGGCCACCATCCCCGACTCCCTATCTTATTCTCTTAGTCTCCTGTTGGCCTAAAATGTAGAAATTGCCTCTCATGCTTCCTCCTCCTCATTTTCCAGAGTCAAGCATCTTGGAAACATAGGCTTTCACATTTCCTAAATCACATTCTCTTAGACTTTGAAACAGAATCGCAGAGCATTGAAAGCAGTAACGGGTAGGGTGTGGTGAGCAGGGAGCTCACATTCAGGGCAGGAATTCCTTCTCCATCACACTGGGGGTTGGGCTGGTGTGCAGCCCCCACCTGACACATGCCTCCAGGGAACAGGAGCTCATGGGCCATTCCTAACCATTAGGAAATTTTCTTTGTAAGGAGCTGGAGTTGGTCTCTCTCTGGTTCCTGACATTGCTCCTGCTCTGCCCACTTTGGCTTCCCAGAACAAAGATTTGAGATTGCTGTCATGATGCCTTCTGTCTGTGCTTCGAGGGCTGCTGGGAGTAGGAACACATGGTTTAGTTCCCTCACCGTTCCCTGCCCAGCTCCCCAAAGTGGAAGAGCAATCAAAGTTTGTCTCTCACATTCCCAGCAAGCCAGTAAGGCCCGGCTGGCCCGTATCAAATGAGCTGTGTTTATCTCTCAGCCTCCACTGGCAGAGAGGGTGGGACACGGGCCCAGCTGGGGTGCTGGTCAGAGCCAGCCCAACTCTCCAAGGAGTGAATAATTTCCTTCTTCCTCAGTCCTCTCCTCCCACCAGGGAGGGGGCGATTGCAACACTGCCACCACCTTAGGTCCCAGCCTGTTGCTGAAGAAGCCTTGTCCTACCTTCCTTGGGGCAGCCCTGTAGCTGAGGTCCCTGTGCCAGTTGGCACCCCCTTTACCTCACTGCCTGCTCAGAGCATGAAGACAGAAAGAGTGTCTCAGCCAACGCCCAGTCAGGAGGCCCCTTCCCCCCACCAATAGACCTGGCAGAGGCTGAGAATGTGGGGGGCCTGGCAGGAAGCCTCTGGTGACCACAAATCCCCACCCCATCACACCCTAGAAGGTGACAGGCACAAGGGTGGCATGGCCTGGAGTTCTCCCTTCCTCAAGTGAGATGAGTGCCCAAGGCCATGCCAAAACCAAGCAGGAGGAAGAACTGCCAGGCAGCGACAGGCCGCCTCTGTTCCTGTAGTCCTGGCACTAGCCCCAACCCTTGAGCATGGCTAGTGGAAAGAGCTTTAGTTCTTTAAGCCACAAGATCACTGGGTGACATTCAGAGACTCATCCTCTCTTCTCTGAGCCTCAGTTTCCCATATGCAAAATAAGGGGAGGGGATAAGCTATATCTTCAAAGATTTTCTGCATAGTTTATGAATCCATGATTTCAACATTGGAAGACTCCAAAATTCTAGGATTCTAAGCTTCAGGATTTTGAGAATTCCACGTTTCTAAGAACCTGTATTTCCTTAGAACACAAAGCTACCAGAATTGTCCAATGTTGCAGTTCTAAGATTCCATCATTCCAAGATGCTATGATTCTTGGATGTGTTGATAGTCTCATACCTAGGCTCTCAGAGGCTCCAAAGTGGGTTAGGATGAAGTTCAGGGAGCCAGTAGGACCAGTCCCAAGTGACTCTGTGAAGGAGGTAAAGTGTGTCTCTCACATCTCACTCCCTTCCCATACACTCCCTTTGGTCCTCTGTGGCGTTCCCACCCTTTCCCTGGTCTTGGGCCTGCCCTGATTCCTCTCCCACCCCACCACCATGTCTTATCCCACCTGTTCTCATGCCTCTCTCCCCATCTCAGAGGCCAAGCATGCCTTTTCTCAGGGGCCTTTTGGAGTCAGATCAGCTGGGGTTCAAATTGTGGATTTGGCTTTCATTTGCAGCCTGAATTTAGACAAGTTACCTAACCATTCCAGTCCTCTGTTTCCACATCTATTAAATGGAACTAGTAACAATCTCTACCTCTCAGAGTTACTGTAGAATTAAGTCAGATAATATATGTAATACACCTAGTACCTAACATACATTATGTGCTCAACTAAATAGTAGGTTAAAAAAAAGGGGGGAGGATCCAAGAGAGCTGAATAGGAACAACTCCAGAGTGCAGTTCCCAGCAAAAACAACGCAGAGGGTGAGTGCCCACTGCATTTCCAAACAAATTTTCACTGCCCACAGACCAGGAGATTCCTGGGCTGAAAAGCACCATGAGTTTTCAGCACGGTGGTTTCAGCTGGTGCCAGCTTGGGGCACAGAAACTCACACAAATCTGGGCGGCCATTTCAACTGGCACCTGGAATGCCTGGGAGACAGAGCCGTCCATTCAACTGAAAGGGAGGAGGCAGAGGCAGGGAGCCAGGAGATCTGGCTCAGCAGGTACCACCCCCACAAAACAAGCAATCTGAAACACTCTAGATGGAGAGTTTCCCAGCAATCACAGCTGGACCTAGGAAGGTCCCACTCAGTGTGGGGAAGGGTGACCACCACGACCAAGGCAGTCCACACAGCAGCTGGGCAGAGCCTCTGCTGGCAGACTATGACTAGATTACTCTGTGCAGAGCAAGGCATCTGTGAAAAAAGGCAGCAGCATAACAGGGACTTATAAATAAAACCAACCTTTCGACGACAGAGCACCTGGGAAAAGAGGTGGTTATGAGTTCTGCTGCAGCAGACTTAAAAGTACCTGTCCAGCAGCTCTGCACAGAACAACGGAGCTCCCAGCACAGCACTTGAGCTCCTATAAGGGACAGACTGTTTCCTCAGGCAGCTCCCTCACTCTGTATACCCAAAGAGACACCTCATAAAGGAGAGCTTAGGTTGACATCTGGCAGGTACCCTTCTGGGACGAAGATAACAGAAGAAGAAATGGCAGCAACCCTTACTGTTCTGCAGTCCCTGCGGTTAGCCCCAGGCAAGCAGGGTCTGGAGTGGACCTCCAGCAGTCCTGCAGCAGAGAGACCTGACTGTTAGAAGGAAAACTAAGAAACAGAAAGAAATAACTTTATTATCATCAAAAAGGATGTCCCCTCAGAGACCCCATCTGAAAGTCACCAACTACAAAGACCACAGGTAGATAAAGCCACTAAGATGGGAAGAAACCAGTGCAAAAAGGATGAAAACACCAAAAACCAGAATGCCTCTCCTCCTCCAAAGGATCACAACTTCTCACCAGCTAGGGATCAAAGATGGATGTAAAACGAATCTGATGAATTGACAGAAACAGGCTTCAGAAGGTGGATAATAACAAACTTCTCAGAGCTAAAAGAACATGAGCTAACCCAATGAAAAGAAACTAAGAACCTAGAAAAAAGGTTAGATG